CAACGTATATAAAGGATGGAGGGAGGAGGAGGCCGGCCCTCATAGGGCGCGCCCAAACTAGGATTCCACCTCCTACATGGAATAGGAAAAAGGGAAGGGAGAAGGAAGGAAGGGGGCACCCCCTTTCCCTAGTCCAATTTGGACCAGTCTACGGGGAAGGGGCGCGGCCACCCTTGAGGCATTTCTCTCATTTCCCGTATGGCCCATTAAGGCCCAATACGAATTCTCGTAACTCTCCAGTACTCCGAAAAATACCCGAATCACTCAGAACCTTTCCGATATCCGAATATAGCCTTCCAATATATCGATCTTTACGTCTCGATCATTTCGAGACTCCTCATCATGTCCCCGATCTCATTTGGGACTCCGAACATACTTTGGTCATCAAATCACATAACTCATAATACAAATCGTCACAGAACGTTAAGCGTGCGGACCCTGCGGGTTCGAGAACTATGTAGACATGACCGAGACACATCTCCGGTCAATAACCAATAGTGGAACCTAGATGCTCATATTGGCTCCTACATATTCTACGAAGATCTTTATCGGTCAAATGCATAACAACATACGTTGGTCCTTTTGTCATCGGTATGTTACTTGCCCGAGATTCGATCGTCGGTATCTCAATACCTAGTTCAATCTCGTTACCGGCAAGTCTCTTTACTTGTTCCATAATGCAACATCCCGTAACTAACTCATTAGTCACATTGCTTGCAAGGCTTATAGTGATGTGCATCATCAAGAGGGCCCAGAGATACCTCTCCGATACACGGAGTGACAAATCATAATCTCGATCTATGCCAACTCAACAAACACCATCGGAGACACCTGTAGAGCATCTTTATAATCACCCAGTTACGTTGTGACGCTTGATAGCACATAAGGTGTTCCTTCGGTATTCGGGAGTTGCATAATCTCATAGTTAGAGGAACGTGTATAAGTTATGAAGAAAGCAGTAGCAATAAAACTGAACTATCATTATGCTAAGCTAACAGATGGGTCTTGTCCATCACATCATTCTCTAATGATGTGATCTCGTTCATCAAATGACAACACATGTCCATGGCTAGTAAACTTAACCATCCTTGATTAACGAGCTAGTCAAGTAGAGGCATACTAGGTGCACTATGTTTGTCTTTCTATTCACACATGTACTAAGTTTCCGGTTAATACAATTCTAGCATGAATAGTAAACATTTATCATGATATAAGAAAATATAAATAACAAATTTATTATTGCCTTTAGGGCATATTTTCTTCAATTTTAAGCAAAACAATGGGTTTCATATTGCGACGAATTCGAAGAACAACTGTACAAAAATGGCACTCACTCCTTCGTGTTCACACTTGTAGAACACCCATCAAGGATGTTTGGGCATGCTCAAGACGAGGTGCAGCACCAACCGTCAGCAGTGACTGTACATGATAATTGGTAGGGCGAGGACTGAGCCCGGCGGACGAGCGAACGTGGTTGTGCCGGTGGTCGGTCAACGATTGAGATGTAAGCGTTGAGGGATCGAGGACTCACCGAGAGGCGGTGCGGAGCAGTAGAGGTGGTTGTGTGATTCGTTCCCTATAGACTCCCTTCAAAACGAATGCCGCCGAGGACTAGACGCGTTGAATCCGACGACAGCGGCAACGGGCGTAGATCTATTAATTTACGCATCGGTGACGAGAAGCGGCCGAATCGACGTGAGGGAGGAGTGCAGCAGGTGCTACAGGAGGGGTCGGCGGTGGTGCGTGGTGGCCGACGGAGGCAAGTAGGGCGGTGCCGGAGTGGATGTGGCTCGGGGTGAGGAAGGGAAAAAAATTACTCTGCGGGTGGGCGACCGAGTATATTTAAGAGCTGAGGCGGCCGTGGAGTATATTATAAGTTATAAGCTCTGTTGGAAAAGGCAGTGCCTAGGAGGCGCTAGGCGATGGCCAAACGCCTTGCCTAGGGCATAAATGGAAGTCTAGGCAGGGCAAGCAAAGAATTGTCTCCCCAAGCGACAAACGATGCCATATTGCATTCATATATATGTCAAATGGGCCATATGCCAATGGTAGTAGTTGGTAGTTAACTTATTTATATGCCCTAAATTAATATCGTCATGCATATCATATCCACAAATATGCCCTGATAGTAAAACTATATTACCGCCTAGGCCACGCCTAGGGCACTTAAGCACCGCCTAGACACTAGGCGAAGGCCAACCGCCTCGCTTACACCTACCGCTTTTTCCAAGGTTATAAGGGATCGGTTAGGTGCAGTTTAGAGAAGAAAACCTGATTATTTTTACTCTTCTAAAGCTTTATAAGGGTTTGGTTAGAGATTCTCTTAGCCCACAGTGGACGTTCTCTTTAAGAAAAGTTGTTGTTATCCGTGAGACCGCGAGTGATAGTCTTGCTTGCTTGTATATAATGTTAATCTTATAGCATGGTGCATTCTTTATGTTATGCATCAGTGTGTGTTATTGGATGAATGTATGTGCTGAACAGAATTCTAGTGTATTATTCAAAACATTTTTTTTGCTAGAGTTCAAAACAAAATCTGAATGCATCCATCTCTGCTGTACTCATTTTGCATGAAGTCTTTTTTTTAGAAATGAAGGAGGACCCCCGGACTCTGCATCTGGGTGATGTATGCAGTCACTTTACTCATTTTGCATGAAGTCTTGACAATCATCTTGCATAAATTTCACTCATATCATACGCATGAGACTGGCCCAGACACTATTCTTCGTTTCGTTACACATATACTTTCTCCGTAAAAAATATAAGAGCGTTTAGATATTTCTTTGTAGAGGGAGTACAATTTATTGATCCATCGATCATTTTCTCCACTAAAAATTGTGCAACTTGCAGTTGCAGTGCATCAATAAGTTGATGCAAACGCAACGAGCGTGTGGCGAGTCCACATCGCAACTCGATCCATGCATCCTTTATTTCAGACGGGTCTCCAGTGGGACATACACTGAGTCAAGTTTCTCTACGGGTTGTGAGCAGTCGAGACCTAATAAAATGTCTGGTCCCTTGGCAATCAAATTAAGTGTCTACTGCTACTGTGTGCAATATCGGTCCATCTGACCACAACAGCTGGGCTACCATTATTTCAGTCAACGTCGTCTTCGTGGTCTTGGCAAATTGTACGTGTGTGCCCATGCAGACCGGTAAAGACTTTTATCTCGCAAAAAAAGACTTTAGCTCTCGAATTGCCAACAACTTACTCTGACTGAGAAAAAAAAAGTAGTTTCAGTCACAATGTCACTTTGATCTCGGCCCAGCGAATCCTGCTCCTCCTCCGGCTGCGGGCCAGCCATACGTTTTTTTTTCTGAAAAAAAAGATTACCCCGGCCTCTGCATCAGAGTGATGCATGCAACCCTTTTATTAATCAAAAAGTCTGAAAAGTCTGTGATACAGAACAAGCTCACTCAGATGATGCCCCAGCCGTCACGTAGATTAATTGGGGGTGAAACCACCGAGTTGATTGATCAACGCCCAATGGAGGCTGCAGTAGCATCTATCAAAGTGGACCCTTCTCTATCCTTTCTTTACCCAATTCCTCTCATCTTTTTGCTAGCTTTACCTTTTTCCTGACGAAGCAGACGTCTCTTCTGCAGGATGCACCTGCCACCTGCAGGGCTGCACCTTTGAATCCATCTGGCATCCGAGCCTACGTGGGCACGTGAGGCAGCGGTCCATGTTGGAGCGATGGCCATGCCCTCAGAGGTGAAGAAAAATAAAAAAGGTATAATATACTACAACCGACGAAAATAAAACGAGGTGACTAAACATCTATTCTATTACTGAACCGTCATCCAAACCGGTTATAGCTATCCCGAAAGACCATCTCCCATCGGGCAGACGCACTAATCGAAGGCTCTCTGGCTTCCCCGGGAGTGAGTAATGACCACATACAGATCCAAGCAGTGGTCCTATAGATAACCTGCAAAAAAATTATAGAAGTTTGTCTGTTAAAAATCATCTCATTTCTACAATTTCATATAGCCCAAAGTAATGCACATACTCCTATACGAATATGTCCACAGTAATTGTCTCTACTCTATTTAGCCATGTCTTAAATAATGTGTAAATACTATTTGGAGGAGTGATATTGAATGCTATATGAATTGAGCGCCATACTAGCTTGGCCAACGGATAATCGAGAAAGAGGTGTTTGATGGTTTCATCGTGATCACAAAAACTACATCTTTAACTATCATCTCAATTACGATTTGCCAAATTATCCTCAATCAGAACCACCTTCTTGTGCACAAACCACATGAAGACTTTGATTCTTAACGGGATTTTGATCTTCCAAAGCAACGAGCCGTACGTGTGTTCTCCTCATCACCGGCAAGGTCCTAGCGAGTCCTCGCCGGCCGCGGCGCCTCCCATGTCCAGCTCGATCACCGTCTAATCCGAGCTGTCAATCAGAAAAAGGCCCACACCCTAACCTCGAACCCTCTTCCTCTCGATGTGAGTGTCCTACCGGAGACCTCAGGACCAGCGTTCTCTGTGTGAATGTTTGAGAGATGCAATTCCGCACTGATCACACGATGTGAGCACAGAGGGCGTGTACTGTGCTAGCTTCGTTTGCCATTGCCAGCGGCACGGACGAATGCAGGACGGCCCTTGGTTAGATTCTAACTTCAGCTAGCTGCTGAATGATCTTGTACGTAGGCCATGAATGTCACAGTACGTGGGATGGGACCTTGGCAATGCATGTGCAGCGCCTGCTAATTTCCAGGAAGCTGTGATTCATTGCTTGGGGAATCTTCATTGAAATTCCTCCTCACAGTCCTACACACTGTAGTATTTACGGTGATTAATGGTGCCTTGTATCAATTGAAATACTGTCCCAGTGTGAACATGATTGACCCTAAGTCTTCCCCTTCAGCCAGTCTTTGTAGCGCTAGCTTCGGTCTTCCTGCGTCTTCAGAAGACATACTACTTCCACTCTATATATGCATCCCCTCCTCTCCTCTTCAAATCATCCACGCACTTCTCCTCAATGACTCCCCTCCACATACTGCCCGGGCTTCTCCTCCTTCTCACTCCTCGGTGCTCCTCTGCAGCTGCAAATGGAGACAAGCTGACGGCAGGCCAAGCGCTCGCTGTTGGCAGCAAGCTCGTCTCCAGAAACGGCAAGTTCGCGCTTGGCTTCTTCCAGCCAGCAGCTGCGGCGGGTAGCATCAGTAAGTCGTCTCACAATGTCACCTCCCCAAGCTCAGGCTGGTATCTGGGCATATGGTTCAATAAGATCCCGGTTTTCACTACTGTGTGGGTCGCTAATAGGGAGGAGCCCATCGTCCACCACAACTTCAACCTAACACAGCTCAAGATAGCAAGCGATGGCAATCTTGTCATTGTAGTAAACCATGCCGGCAACACGGAGTCTGTAGTTTGGTCCACTCACATCGCCAATAATATGACACAAACCAGCAAAAAAAACACCCTCACCACTAGTGTTGCCCTTCTCTTGAACAATGGAAACCTTGCCCTCACATCTGAACAGAAGGTGTTGTGGCAGAGCTTCGACTACCCAACAGATGTCGTGCTTCCTGGCTCTAAGTTTGGCCGTAACAAGATCACTAGTTTTAGCAGCCAACTCATCTCAAAGAAGAGCCTCATTGATCCTGGTTTAGGGTCATACAGTCTTGACCTAGAAGATATCAAGGGGTTCGTCCTCAAGCGCCGCAAGAATCCATCAATAGTGTATTGGCTTTATGAATCCTCCACAACATCAGCAATGAATCTTTTGCCACTAGCCCAGGCACTGCTAGATTTGAATCCTCAGACCAAAGGTTTACTTAACATAACATATGTTGATAACAACCAAGAGGAGTACTATATGGGCACTTTACGAGATGAATCCTCGGCTTCCATATTTGGCTTACTAGACATCTCTGGTCAGATAAAGATGAATCTTTGGTCACAAGCCAGCCAGTCTTGGCAGACAATATATGCCCAACCAGACGATCCATGTGATCCGCCTGCAACCTGTGGACCGTTCACAATCTGTAGCGGCAAGCCACATCCATCATGTGATTGTATGGAGAACTTCTCTCAGAAGTCCCCGCATGATTGGGAGTTTGATGATCGAACAGAAGGATGCATTAGAAATACACCGTTACATTGCACTCATGAGATAAACATGACAAGTTCAACAGACATATTCCACCCCACTGTTCAAGTTCAATATCCGTACAACTCGCAAAACATAGTCAGTGCTACCACCCAAAGAAAATGCGAAGAAGTTTGTCTCAGTTCCTGCTCCTGCACTGCTTATTCCTATAACGATAGAAGATGTTCTGTCTGGAATGGAGAATTACTTAATGTAATTCTGGCAAAAGGCATTGATAACACCGGAGATCATGTTCTCTACCTTCGCCTTGCCGCCAAAGATTTGCTGCCAAGTTTGAGAAAAAACAAAAGAAAACCAAATGTTGGAGTTGTTATTGCATCCAGTATTATTGGTTTTGGATTACTAATGTTCATGCTATTGTTACTGATTTGGAGGAACAAATTCAAGCGCTGTAGTCTTCTATCAATAAGCTATGACAATCAAGGTAGTTCTGGTGGGATTATAGCCTTTAGATACACGGATTTAGTTCGTGCTACTAAGAACTTTTCAGAAAAGCTGGGTGGAGGTGGTTTTGGTTCTGTATACAGGGGATTATTAAGTGACTCAGAGACTAGTGTAGCAGTTAAAAGGCTTGATGTTGCCCATCAAGCAGGAGAGAAGCAATTCAGGGCTGAGGTGAGCTCAATTGGATTGATCCAACACATTAACCTAGTCAAACTTATTGGTTTCTGTTGTGAAGGTGATCATAGGTTACTTGTGTATGAACACATAGTAAATGGGTCTCTTGATAGTCATCTATTTAAGGTGAGCAATAATGGTGATGCCGCTACCCTAAATTGGAATAACAGATACCAAATAACCCTAGGAGTTGCTAGAGGATTGTACTACTTGCATCAAAGTTGCCATGAGTGCATTATACACTGTGATATTAAGCCAGAGAACATATTGGTAGATGGGTCATTTCTTCCTAAAGTTGCAGACTTTGGGCTGGCAGCGTGTGTGGGAAGGGACTTTAGCCGAATCCTGACAAGTTTTAGAGGAACCATCGGTTATCTTGCCCCGGAGTGGCTTAGCGGAGTTGCAATCACGCCAAAAGTCGATGTTTACGCCTTTGGCATGGTGTTGTTGGAAATCATATCAGGAAGGAGGAATTCAGCACATGAAACGTCATACAACACCAGCAACAATAGCAGTAACCAGCATGTTGAATATTTCCCCGTGCAAGCCATCAGCAAGCTTCATAGCGGTGATGTGAAGAGTTTGGTGGATCCACGGCTAAATGGTGAATTCAGTTTGGAAGAAGTTGAAAGGGTTTGCAAAGTTGCTTGTTGGTGCATCCAAGATAATGAGTTTGATCGTCCGACGATGGGTGAAGTTGTCCGGGTTCTAGAGGGTCTACACGAGATTGATGTGCCCTCGATGCCAAGACTACTTGCAGCTATTACAAAACAATCTGGTGTTGCAATGTAATAATAAGTTGTTGCTAATATTATTAGTCTTTGTTGATTTCAGAAATTTCTTGAAGTTCTAATGTGAAGAATAAGAAATAAAGGAAAGCAAGTTTGTAGTTGATAATTAGTCGCCTTGTTACCAATCATTGCAGCAAAATATGGCAAAGGATAGAAATTTTGTATGTGTATGTGTGTGATTATTTTCAGTCTGGAATGGGAACTTCCGAATTTCTAGTTACATATTCCAGGAATAGCTATTAGCACGCAGAAGCAAGATGCCATGCATGGATTAAATATTTGGAAACTGGGGTCCGTGGGTAGCCATATATTTGTTCAAGAAAATACATAGGCTCTATAATTACCTGGTCTTCTCAGTAAATTGGATAAGCCAATCATGTCATCTTGGTTTTGCATGTTGTGCTTGTCATTTGTGGGGTGCCAGTCTCTAACTCTAAACTCCAATCTAAAGCAGATCTTTGTCAGTGTACAGAACTACCTCTAACACACTACTTCCTCCGTTCCTAAATATTTGTCTTTCTAGAGATTTCAATAAGTGACTACATACAGAGCAAAATAAGTGAATCTACTCTAAAATATGTCTATATACATCCGTATGTGGTAGTTTATTTGAAATCTCTAAAAAGACAAATATTTAGAAACGGAGGGAGTACTTTTTTTGAGTTGTTTGTTGTTTTTGAGATAGCTACCCACTTATTTCAAGTGGACCCTCTGACACACTACTTGACGATGCCTTGACAGCCAGCAGAATTGCGGGGCGTCCGAGCTCACACAAAATGTAAACAGCGGCGAAGAAGGCAAACATGATCACATGAGGCAGCGGGCGAGAATTGCAAGGGCTCGGGCAGCCCCATTTTTCTCACGGGCAAGAGAATGAGAATTGTCGGCCGGGGCCTGATTATCTTTGCTTAACCTCGAAAAAGAAAATTATTTGTCTTTCCTTTTGCTTGACTTCAACCCCATTTACAGCCGCGGCACAGCCAGAGTACTATTGCAGTTTATCAGAATCGATTGGTACGTAGTTGCAATCAATCAGAAAAAGTATGCATGAATACGACGGGTCTGTAGTTTTCTCGCCGACGGCGACGCGGCCGGAAATATAATGGCTTGTAGGTATACGGATCGGTCGATGTGCACGCCATTGTGATGCTGCCTGCTCTTGGCCTATTGTTACATCTTGCTATAGAATCTTTTTTTTTGAGAGCAAGCATAAAGCTTAACTTGCTATAGAATCTTAATTAGGAGTCCCGTGACAAGGCGCATGCATTGACCTGACTCCACAAGTGACGCCTAGTGTTGCCACAACGGTCACTTTTGCGCGGGACATGCATTTTTACCTTTAAAAATAGGCTTTCGTTTCACTTTATGTATATGAAAAAGAAACCGTCAACTTTTTTCTTTTGGCAAGAAAGCAACCATCAACTTGAAGTAAGCAGTTCAAGCGCGTATGCGTATGCAACAAGAATAAATTAGAGACAAAACACCGTGTGGCAAACAAAATACTCTTTCTGTACTAAAATATAAGACGTTTTTGCAGTTCAATTCTATGTCTTATATTTTGGGTTCGAGATAGTAGTTACTCCCTCCGTAAACTAATATAAGAGTATTTAGATCACTATTTTAATAATCTAAACGCTCTTATATTAGTTTACAGAGGGAGTACTAAGATGCACATGTGGGATGGGACGGTCACTTTTGTGGGAAAGGAGCAGAATATAGTTAGCGTGTACTAGCTAACTATATAGTGCTTGTAGTCGTCGCTAGGTGATTCATGAACATCGTTGTAATTTTTATTACCTCTGTTGTTTTTTGTACTGCCAAGATTGAAGATAAATAGATTGAAAGTTTCTTGCAAAAATAAATAAATATATAATTTTATTATTTTTCTCTTGTCACCCAATTCCGCTTCTGTCACACACCAATCAACACCTATAACGATCATCTATCATAAATTTCCACTACTAGTCAAGGGATCAATCATCACACAAGTGGCAAAACGAAGACTATTCAAAGACATGTGCTATATTTGTTTGGTAGCATGGACTACTTCTCATACCCATACCGACGACTATGCACATATCAATCGATGTGACCTGTGACCGCATGCAAGTGGTTGCTTGCTCTTGTTTTTTTTTTTTTTGAGGGAGTGCCTTCATAGAAAATACTAAGGCACTAGAGTATGGGCAGTTGAAACACTGGGTTAATGCCTTCATATGAATTTGTTCAGATAGCTTGCCTGAATACATTCAACTGCTGTATTCTTTCCTGTATCTTGTTACTTGTTGTTTTTCTTTCTTTTCTAAGGTTAGTTTTGTGTAGTCTTTTGTTTTCTATATTCTTTATTTAATTTGTTAAGACTCTCTTTGTACCTTAAAAAATCAATAAAATTACGCAGCAGAGTCCTGTTGTTTTTCTAAAAAAGATAGAAAATATCAAGGAAAAATCTTGTGCCCAGCCGGCTGATTTCTAGCAAAATTAGCCGGCTCGCTCATGTGCCATGCGATATGTGGCCTCGCATGTAGATCTCTACCTGGTACCCTCTAACCATTTCTTTTTTCTTCTCAATTAATGTCATCAAGATTCGCGCTCGAAACAGATCTTCTTTCAAGTTCCATCCCTCTCGCCTCTTCCTCTCTCCTCTCAGTTCTCATGGAATGATGCTTGCAACGGAACATGTAGGTGATGGGAGCTAGGGAGGTCAAGAGTGGTCCAAATCTAGGCCAGTCAGCTCCTTTGCGAGGGGGCAATTCTCGAATAAATATGCTCCCCGATGTGTCATTGGCCAGATCCAAAGCAGCTGCTACGAGGTGTCGATGCCGCAGGTCAGGCCGCAAGGTGCTGGGAAAACCCATGACTGCTGCTCCAAGGCATTGTTGTTCCATGTTGCCCACTAGTGCTTCAGGCGGGCGCCGCTGGTTGTTGGGTGTCGTGCGAGAGATATCCATGCCCTGCTGCTGCAGGAATGAGCACTAATGATTGTGTTGGTGCTGACATGCTTTGGCAACATCGATGTTGTTGCAAACGACAGTAGGCGGAACGACGGTGCTGCTGCTGTTGAGATGAGTTTCTGCAAACATCGTCGGTTTCCCGCAACATCACCACTGCTACAAAGAATCTTGCCTGTGCTTGTTTGCAACATCATCAACATTGTAGTGTGCTTGTCAGTATTTTCGCAGCATCATCGATGCTACAGGGAAGCTTGTCGGTGCTCGCTTGCAACATCATCGGCGCTGCAGAGTGCTCTCTAGTGCACGATTGGGTGGTGGTAGGGTTGCACCATCACTTGTGTTGCACAGGTCGCCGAGGATTGCAACATCGCCTATGTTACGGTGGCAACACGAATCATGTTGCGGACGTTTTGGTATAGCTAGGGGTGGCTAGCGGATCGGATTTCTCTCGCTCATGAAATGTAATGTCTTGGCAATCAACCGATTTTGTTCTCATGTTACCTGATAGATTAGACGCATAGTGCACGTCAAATATAAATTAGGAAATCCAGATCTATCTATCTAGGGATAAGGCGTATGTGTCGAGTTGTCTATCCAGATCCCATGTTCTCTACCATTTCGGGCCTTTATTATTGACATCCCAATCAAGGGTAGAGGACACTTCCATTGGTTAGCATAGAATAGTCAAAACATTTTTTCTTTTTGGTGGGGGGACTAATCGCAACTTGCAACCAAGTAGGGTATCTCCAAGGGAGACCCGTAAAACACCGGTATATGTTCGACCGGACACATTTCTTCACTTTTGCAATCCAATGAGGACTTGTATCAGTTCGCGAAGCTGTCCATACATCTAAATTCTGGTAACCACGGCCAATCATATAATCGTATTTCGGCCAATTTTCCTCTCGTCCCCGGCGGCTGCAACCCTAGCCGCCGCCAGGGCCAATCTCCTAACGCCGTTCTCCGGCGGCTCCCCTCCGCCGGCGACCTCGGTCGTCGGTGGTGAGGGGGGCCGCCGGATCCACGCTTGTGGATCGATTTTTCTCCTTTATAGTTTAGGTTTTTAGGTTGTTCATCGTCTTTGTTTCGGTGATGGCGATGGTGGCGCTGAATAATGAATCTTCGGATTCTTCCCTGACGAGGCCATCGGTCCTATGGTTGGGGATGGATTTGGAAACCAGTCTGTTCAAGCAAGGATGGTGTGGCGGCGGCGGCATCCTTGTGGTGGACCTGTGTCCTCGGGCTCCGCCGTTGCGACGACGTTTGCTCCAGCGTCGACGCGGAGCTTGGGAGGTAGTCCAGGAGCGGATGCAGATTGTGGTCTGCATCGACGACATCTGAAAGACGGAATATCTACTGGGTTCGTGGTTCGTGGATGGAAGGTATGGTTTCCTCCTTCGGCGCCTTAGTCGTGGTGGAGTGCCAGATCTGGAGTTCGATGGCGTGTCCGGGGTGTTGCCCCGGTCTGATTCGTTCAACGGCAAGGGCTTCACTTTTGGTGAGCCACTTTGGAGGTCCGCAAAGCTGCATATCAGAGATGGAGCCGCGTCGAGCTCGGGTGAGGTGGTGATTCGTCATTCTTTTTTTCGGTGACTGATGTGGTGGTGCCGGAAGCAGTTGACGAGCCTTGGTGTCAAGCTCAGAGATGTTCTACTATCTTTTCAGTATTGTCATGTCGGTCTTTACGTGATTTGTACTTTGTTCTTTATGATATGAAGGAGACATGTATTATCATGCAAAAAAAACATCTAAATTCTGGTATTTTAGAGACAAACATGGGGAGTTTTGTCAGAGTGACATGCACTTAACCAATCACATGCATGGTCCCCCTCTTATCTCTCTCCTCCCAACAGTACGTGCATGCTCCCCATCTTCTCTCTCTTCTCCCAACTGGACACTAAATAACAAATATCCCACCACACGCATGGTCCCCACCTACCTTTTCTCCTTCCATCCGAATACTTTGTAATTAGCGATGGATGGCTCCCTCCCGTATTATGCCCATGGACCATGTCCGGACATAAAGACGGACATATACCAGAGGAATCCGCGG